ATTTCGGTACCAAAATACCTGTTACTACACTAACCCACTCACACGAGCACATACTACTAAACAAGTGTCACGTTCATTTTATTAGTTGCTGTAATCGGTAAGCTTATCAGTTGGATTTGCTCCCGAAAAGCCATACTCATTCATTGGTTATCATTTATCTTCAGTATTATAGCTTTTATTAATATTTTTTGTCAATGCACAGCTAGGCTTTTCTCACGCCGCAATGTGGATCTATTTGATGCATGTTGGGGAAAAAATTTTATAAAATAATTTATTTCAAAATGCAGATTGCAGTTGTCCAGCACTTACAAGGCAACGCTTAAAAATTTAGTGGCCTTACAGCATGAAACACTGAAGAGGTGTCGACAGTGAGAGAAACGGAGTCAACTCTTTACCCTGATCTATTGTACATATATAATATTATTTTGTTCGGGGAATTGAAAATACAAATATTGCCTACTTTTAGGGGAACAAAATGAATATTTGTTCAGCGAAGCGAAGTGAACCGGATATGATAATTCTTATATGGGTAATCATATATTAAAACAATATTGCCTTCAATTAGCCGTAATATTAAAAACGGTACTAACAAGCATTTAAGCCAAGTCACAAACCATGAATCCTTAAAACTATGCGGGTTTGTAATACGGCTGCTTAATGGCTATTATACTCACGCTAGTTGGTACACATGTGCATGAATTCGATGTAGAAGCTTGTATTTAAATTTTTCCATAGCGATCCAGACTTTCGGAAGCTTAAGCAGCTGCAGATGCTCCTGAAGGCATGCTTCGCATAACATTACGAATATGCATAGATTATGTATATAAAAATATTGCTTACTAACCATTGAAATTGTTGCACTGTGCACAGATAAACCAGTCTGTGGCATGGGATTTCAGGTCCTTATACGCTGCTCACATGTCACTCATACGCTCAGTAGTACTTTGGCGCTTGGCAGGCTGAGTTGCACGCCGCTAAGCAGAACGCGCGGAAAATACACTAAATCCGATGGTGCAAAAAACCAATAATAAACGGGTATGTTAGTTGGTATCATAAAAAAGCATACTTGCATATATATGAGTCCACCGTATCTGTGCGTGTGTAGATGAGTGCGCCGAATTGACTTTAATCCATCACTTCCTATTCTTTAGGATTACTTGTATTTGTGTCAATGGCCAACCAGCGGCAAGCCAGTGTAATTAAATTCGCTCACATACATTACCACATTGTGAAATACTGTTATCATAAACGAGTTCATAGAAAGTACGAAAAAATAATTATTAGTGATTATTTTGACACATTTTTGCAATATTCTGGCAGAGACACCTGTGTACGCTGTGACTGTGTGAAATTTTACTCTCCGTTTGAAATGTCTGCAGTTTTTGTATGCTACTTAAAAATATTAACTCTTCTTGTGCTCTTGTGTGAAAGTTGTGCAGCTGTGGATGTGAGCCGACAACGCAATGTAACGGAAGCGGCAAACAGCTGGCAGTATTTGTTTAAACAAGGAGAATCGGCATTGAAATTTTTGTGAGTATACCAATTAATGTTGCAAATGTGCGACATGGAAATTAAATATTTGTAACTTCCAGAAGGTATGTGAAGAGTAAGTGAATATTTATGCTTTCCTCTAATTATGTATTTTATGGTCATGTATCAAAGATATTTACTAACTGACATTTATTTCGATTTACTAACTATTGTGGCAGGTTACAAAGTTAATCAGATCGTAAAAAATGTGTACATTTATTACCAAGTACATTAGTTTGGCACAAAATATTTTTTTTTTTTAATCTAATTTCTCCTCAAATGGTCGCTAGCCTTGGTATAGTATCCGCTAGTAAATTGCATTAGGCATGGCTAGCGTCTACTGATTATGGCAGCTAAGTAGTCGTCTTTTTTTCGTTTGTAGAAGATTATTATGTCTTTTTTAAATAACAATACTATGAGTCTGATCGTTTCAATTTTTGATTGTCAAATATAAGATGTTTAAAAATAAAATATTTGAAAATAGAACCTAAAAAAGTGGAATTTCTGAAATCATTTGATTTTTTCCAAACATATTTTTAGAACTTCTTTAACGGCTCAGTAGGGTCATCTGGCCTTTGTTTTTTTTTTTTTTTGTTTTTGTTTTTTGTTTTTTCATAGACATTTTTATTCTACAATAGAAGGTTTTTCACAAATCACGGGGTATATCGTGGAGTGTATGAAAATATTTTTCGGAATTTTTTGATGACATGTGTTGGAGTAATGGCTGGGGAGATGAAATGCCACTGGCGGATACGATTTCTCATATTTGAATCATCTGAAACATAAGAACCCAATTCATTCTTAAGAAGTACGTTTTTGTAAGTTGCCGGTCCTACTAAAATCATGAAAAAGTGTTGATAAATAAAAAAAATAATTAATACAGAAGAACGTAAATAGAAAAAAAATTTTGTTTTTTTTTTTTTTTTGGAAAAAATATTACCATATAGACTCCTTCAATTTCAAATGAAATACTCCATTCTCACGATTCAAAAGCAAAATGGTTTTGAGTCCATTAAAGACGTAGGTTACCTTTTCTATTTTGAAATTTGGCAATTCTAATGCTGCGAGCTGGCAACCAACAACTTTATCGTAAGGTTGACAGTTTGGGCGCTATTTGTGTTGTTTACAGTAACTTCAAATATTCTTCCAGACAAAATAAAATGTAGTTAATTCGCAAATATTTTTCTGCGATTATTTTTTATAACTTTCGATGTGGAATAACTCATCAAGAGTACATGAATACAGATAATTTAATTTTTGACAATGAAGCTCCATCAAGGGAAAGTGTTTATTGTTGGTATGGTGAATTCAAACGAGATCCTAGATCACTCCTACTTTACTCCTACAAGTTGTCCAAATTAGTTTTTGTTCCTGAAACTATTGATGTTGTGTGCAAACTAATATTGCAATATCATTATATGATCCATGATGAGACTAAATCAACTATATATATATTTTTTTTTTTTTTTTTTTTTTGTTAGTTTTTTTTTTTTTTTTTTTTATTTTTTTTTGTTAGGAAAGCTGAACATGTCGCAACGTACCACTAGAATAACACAGAACACTAAATTCTGTGAGTGGTATAAAATAATCTTTTGCCAGTTGTCTTTCAAGAAATCAGCAAAACCAACTTTCGAAGACAGATCACTTATAACCAAGACAATGTGGTTTCTTACGTATCGACTGAGCCAATTACATTTTTGGGCAAAATCGAAGTTTTGGGTTTGATGAGTCATAGGATCACTTGGCACCGAAGGACGTTTTTATTTCCATTCGCAAAAGATAAACTAATAGGTCAACGTTTTTCGACACCTGAAAAGGCGATTTATACATTCAGATCGCATGTTTTCAAGATACCTCAATCAACGTGGTAAAATTCCTTCGAAAATATCTTATATAAAATATAATAGTTCTTAATCCAGAACGATTTGAAAAACAATAAATCGATTTCCGACGATTAATATTTAATTTTGTTCCGTCTGTTCGTGAAAATGCCATTACAGGATTCATCTTCAACTAAATAGTGTGTAGGATATTTTCTTCTGATTTACATTATCATTATCGCACAAATACATATTACGATTAACGTTTGTTTTTGGAAACAACAGTGGATAATGCGACGTAACATGTCTAACGATAATTTTATCTGTTACCGTAAATGATAAACTTTTCCCTTAAATTATGGTATTTGCTCTAATCAAATATAAAATTGTGTTCTGCTTTAGATTTCATGTCCGTTACATTACTAGTTTGTTGTACTTTTCCACGCGTGCAAATTAGTCGTGAAGTAAATTATTTATTAAATTATTATTCATTTAATTATAGGTCGAAAAAGTATTTTCGTATTTTGTTGGAAAGGTGAGATTTTAAGCTTCGTTTACAAAAAAAATTAAATTCGGTGAAAACAGTTATACCTGTTCAAACATGAGTGAAAATAATAAAGGAATTCGCTATATTTTGAAATATTTGTATAAAAAAGGGAAGAATGCCACGCATGTCACCAATGAAATTTGTGAGGCCCACGAAGACAATGCTGTATCAGTTCGTGTAGCACAACCATGGTTTGCTTCCATTCTGAAAATTTCGAAATTTCGATTTACACTGGTAAAATAATGTCTCTAGCGGGAAAAGGGCAAAAAGTGGTCGACCAAGATGTAACATATTTCTTTATTCATATACGAAAAAACTTTTTCGACTACCCAATATTAATATTATAGTAGGGGAGCCCAAGAGGGGATTTTTGCAGTTACTAAAGCGTGTCAGAAAATTTTATGTAGCACTACCAAATATGAGCCCTTAAGATGGAGGCGTGCGTTGGGAAGAGTTCGTCAGATTAGAGAAAAAAATCGATCCATGGGGAAACTCGAGCGCATTAGATTAAGAGATGGTAAATTACATACATAAATAGGAGTGTAGTAGAGACTTGACACTTTTGTTTATTTCTCGCTCTCTCGCACCGTCACCATACTAGCGTCTGCCGCTATAATGCCATCTGAGCTGATCACCATAGCCTGGTTGTTGTTAGCAGACGATTGACACTTTTGTTTGTTTGTGATGTTTTCTATTCCTCCCTTTCTATTTCGCGCTTGATTATTTTTATGTGACTGTTGTTCGTTTCCTTTTTTAGATTTCTGTGGAAGGCTTATAGGAAAACTATAAGTATATTTAAATCCTTAAAGCATTGAACAGCACATTCAGGGAGCGCTTCCTTGAACTGCAACAGACCAACCACATTCCTAATATTGTGCTCCTTCTTTAGGTCCTTTAAGCTAGCTAGAGAACTCATTATGCTAGACATACTATACTATATATACATACTAACTTTTACATTTTTTCGATTTATAGAAAAAACTATGTCAATGTCACCATCACCGGAAGCGTACCTGAATGCATGGAGTATCAATGTAAAGTATTTTGCGGGAATACTCGTGCGGACCAACTGAATAAAAGCATCGAAATTGCTTTGTTAGTTAATGTGCGTAGCAGTGAAATTAATTAAAACATAAATATATAGTTTAAAATTAATAAATATTAAATTTTTCAGAGCACCAATTGTTCAGCCATACAAGAGCTGCACCTTTATAATGTGGAATTTCCGCAACAAAGAATTTCATTTGGATTTCTTGGTGAATATTTCAATAAGGTGCGTATGCTCTACATTGGCTCATCCAATGTCACCGCCATTGATGCGGGCGCTTTCAAAAAAGGCATCTTCAGGAAGATTCAGTTGGAGAATTTAGAATTGGAGGAATTAAACAAGACAATTTTCAAGAATACTACTAAAATTTTCACGATACTTTCCATCATACAGCGAAATAAGCCAATAGAATTAGTTTGCGATGATTTTCTGGGTTATATCAAATACCAAATAAAAAACTTTACACTGCAAGGCAACATCAAGCACATAACTAATACGACAGCATCGAGTAGTTTGCTCAATAGCTTGAGATATCTGGATTTGAGTTATAACAACTTTACCAATACATTTACCGAAGAGACGTTCGAAAAGTTGTGGGTCGTAGAATATTTGGACTTATCACACTCGAATATACAATACCTACCCGATTATGTGTTTTCCAAAATCACCGACACACTGTTATACCTCAATTTGTCCCATAATCAGCTGACCACAATAAATCATTTGATTTTCGGCAGACATGCAATTTATGATGATTTAATTATCGATTTGAATTATAACCCCTGGAATTGTACGTGCGACTTGCGCACGGAAATGAATTCAATACTGATCTTTCAAAGCAATCCTCCGACATGTCACGAGCCCATCGAATTAGAAATGGTATCGGTATTGGATGAGCGTATATGTCACAGCGAATTGAATATAACTGCAAATTCGACAACACTAAAACCGATCACTACAATAGCAGATTACGGCAACGAGTACATTACGACCCCAACGCGAGAGACTTTATCAACGATTACAACTAAGCAAACTTCAACGATAATTACTACTGTTGGTGATGGCGATGACGACATAATATTAGTACGTTGCCTGGTACCTGGTTTTGCGACCATGGTGACCTGGCACAGCGTTATGTGGCCCGAAACACAGATTCATCTGACAGAACTGCCGAACTTGCGTGTTGAAGTGCTTTTAGAAATAACCGATTCGAAAAAATTATATGGTTTGATTTGGTTTAGTAGCGTTGTGGATGATTACTATAGCATGACAGTTAACTACAATCAATATGGGCTGGGTTGTGTTGGACCCATCAGCTATACAACAATTGTGGCCAATCTGTTACCAAATACTGCCTACACATTTTGTTTGATGCCCAACGATGATTTAAAAATTTCTCCATATCACTGTGATTCACTACACATGAATTCTAATCTTCAAGTAGTCTATAATACATGGTTGTCGCGTGACATGCGGTTCACGGGCATATCGTTGACCGTACTTGGTGTGTTACTTACTTGCCTCTTGGGCATTGCCAGCGTATACATGCTACTAAAACATAAGCCAACACTGTTGAAGGGTAGTAAACGTGTGAAAACCACAAGCGCCAACTCAATGGATATAGTCATCTTTCCAAAGCAGCACTCATTGGAGAATTTGAAGCTCAAGGAACAGACATTGGCGCAGCGCACTTCTCACAGGTGTGTATTGAAATTTTATAAGCAAACGCCTTCCTTCTGCGCAATGAAAGTATATATGTGCAGAGTTTTTCCGAAAAGTAATAGGACTGAGTCGCTTTAAAAACTGTATAAAATGAATCGATAAAAATTAAAACTTTCATAAGAGGCTCCTTCTGCGTCGATGCAACGCTGCCAAGTCAATTTTCAAACATTGAAGGCGTCAAAATTTGGGAGCCGAGGTGCATGCTCCCCTCTGTCGTCTCAAAATGCTTGCCTTTCGTCGGTCTTTTTAGGCAAGGAAACAAAAAGAAATTCGGGAGGGCCCCATCTGGCCTATAGGCCCAGCGGCTGCGGAAGCATTGGGAAGTCTTGGTTATAAAGCACTTCAAAGAAAAGGCGGTGTGAGCCGGGGTGATTTCGTGGAGCATCTTTCAATCGGTTGCAATCTCCTGGCGGACCCGACTGACCCTTCGTTTCAGTGTCTTGAGCACTTTCACATAAATCTTGGCGTCGCCGGTTTGTTCAGGAAGAACAAATTCATGATGGACGATGCCTTTGATGTCAATAAAAACAATGAAAATCGCTTTCACTTCGCTCATGTTTCCCTTTTTTTTGGGCGAGGAGACGCCTGCGTGTGCCGATCGGAAGATTGCCCCTTTTGTCTCGGAATCATACTCAAGTATTCACGTTATTCGAAAATTTGGGGTCACTTTCAAACATGTTCAAATTTTCTTATCACACTTCCACTCACCGCAACCTCTGTTTTAACGAAACACGTCTCGCAAAAATGTTTCTGCTGACTATCCAGGTGCTCAGAAGCAACCCTTTGATGTATTCCCGTATTCCCCTTAATGAGCTTTTCAAGCTCTGTTGCAGTTATTTTGAAGCGTATTCAGTCTCGATTCTATGTATACGTTTTTACTATATTTTCAAATACTCTTTACATACTCATACTTCCGAATCATTTTTCAGCGCCTACGACACTTCCAATAATAGTCCTATCTCCAACAATCACATAATACGTCGTGATTCCGTTGTTAGTGTTGAGAGTAATCAAAGTTATATGAATGCTAACTTATACGAAGTAATACCGGCTTATCTTCGTATACAAGATGCCGCTTCCGATTATGAGAAGAAGTCACTTGAATTGGAATCTATTGACAGTTACATGTCAACCTTGGCACCCAAATACGAATGCACTTCAGTCAGTTATGCAGAAGTTTTGCCCCGAAACAAACGTGCTTCAAATGATCCACTGCCAGCTTTACCAACAGCACGGACGTCTAGTACAACTACTCTTGCGCTGGTGCCTCCTGCGTCGATGCCAATATAACTGTGACGGAAGCGAATGAGAATGCAGAGAGCTGAGATAATAAAATGTAGGGAGCGTGGCGATGTTCACAAATATGAGAACTCGAACAATATCACTAAATTAAAACTGTATACGTGTAGAGTATGTAAATCTATGTATTCTGTTAACGATGTAATAAAGAAGGGAGGACTGAGAAAAGAACTGTTATCTCATTTATGAAACGTCGTTGGAACTGTAGCTCTCTCAGTTTGCAAAATCTCTAGAATAAATATTTGTCCACCACTAAAAACGTAGCCGAAGTCAGCTTCATGTCCATTTAAACTGGACGCTCAAAACCGGAAAACAAAACTTCGAAGCTCCGAGAACTTCCGAAGTTTTCGTGTCAAATTTTGTTCAGCAATTAGGCTCAATGGGTATATAAACAAGCAAAATTGCCGCAAAAAAAAAAAAAAAAAAAAACAAACACCGGTTTACTGTGGCTTCTTGGACGGTGGAATCATCGGTCCATATTTCTATAATTTCACGGTTTTGGTCGGTCGATTGGTTACCAAAATCATGTGATATCACACCGTTAGACTTGTTCCTGCGCGGATATGTAAAGCCTAAAATCTATACGGACAATTCCGCTTCAATTCAATCCTTGTAGCGACACAATACTTGTGTCATACGGCAGTTACCAGTCGAAATGCCCAAACGAGTCATCGAAAATTTAACTCAATGAATGAACAATCTGAGAAGTAGGTCAACATTTGATAAAAATAATCTTCGAAAAATAAATGCTAAAGCAGGTTTTTTCGAATGATGATAAATATTACCCAATAGATTTGAAGCTTATGTATTTTTTCTTTAAAAAATGTAACGAACCTCGAACTGGATCACTCTTACGTTCGATTCCGGAAGCACTGAGCAACAATTATTTATTTTATTATGTAATAATGCTTTGACCGTATTTATTATTGTATTTATTTCTATTTTATTCGCTATGATTTCACATAATGGTCTAATAAAATAAAATCAAATATTGATATACAATACTTATTGCCTCTGCAATGAATCAAAGTCCAGAGACCCTTTGATGTGCGGTACCAAAAACTAAAATATAATGTTCCAAAATTCCAAAAAGTAAATCTKAATCAATTCAGAAATAAAATAAAAAATGTTAAAATTAATCATTTTGGAAAGGGTTAACGGAAATCACTCGAACTACCGCTAATACACGAATATTGTGCTTACTCATTTCCACATAAAGAAGTCACCATCGTGCGTTACACGATCACATCCATCGGCAAGCAGTTGGCTTTATCAAATCAAATAATCATTAATTTATTAGTGCACCGATAAGCAAATCGAATTTAATTGTTTACTAAATAAATTAAGCATGAAAAATCGTTCATAGAGAGATATGCAAAATGCGCTTGGAAATCGTATATGGAAAATCAGTTTATTGAGAGTTGTTGAAGGCGCAAAAGTGGACAGAAAATCACGGCAATCGAGGCGAAACGGTCTTTATACCTACATAAATATAGATATAAATGAGTTTGCGCGTGTGGAAATAGTATTACTAAAATTGTTTTGATTATGATAAAATGTTTAAATCGAAATCATTTCGTATTAATCATGAAATAGACAAAAAGCCGAAAGTACATGACCATTGCTATGAGTCCAAACGAATACGGTAAGATTCTTACTGATTTTAATTTTATATAAAATTGCTTACTAGTATCCTTGTTCACTTCTCAGCTGGATGAAATTTTTGATTATACCATTAATCATCGCTTTCTCATTGCTTTTGGTGCTGAGTAATGTGAATTTCTCGGGCGAGTCATATGAGCACACTGTGACACCTTCCGGTGGAAGCCATACAAGGGAAACAGAAACGCCAACGAAGGAAGTAGTAACCGTATCTAACATCAACCAAGGTATAGCAATGGAGGAAGCTGCACTTGATAATATAAAACTTTATGACGAAGAGGAGAAAAGGAGTGGCGCAGTGGACGTAGCAGTGCAGTACATGAGTGGCGTTCAGCGGCAGCCACATAAGTAAATTAGTTATTAAAAAGAGAAACTTAATTTAAATTGATTAATTAAGGAAGCATTGCTAGAAATTTTAGGTCTATCATTAGACCAAAAATAATTGAGTCGGATGAAAGAGTGACTGCAGGGTCAAAACTCTAGAAAAAACAGAGTCTAAAAGAATATTTTTTCTAAAGAAGATAATTTTTTGTTGGTCAACGTCAAAAAATCAAAAGCTAGTTCTACACAACTTAGTTTCAAAAATGTATACCTTGTTTCTTTTATTGTTTTGCTTTAGGGGCTTCCAATGTACAGACAACAACACGTGTAAGACAGTCATTTGTGTGGGTGGACCCATATATGTTCTCCAAGTTGAACTCGAGTACATTTTGAATTGGTGCGTTAATAAATATTTTGACATCATCATAGAGAATTGCACATTCAACCAAAATACTATTAGCCGATCCACATTCTCAGGTAGTTTCAAGATGTCCACTTTAACAATACGATATTGCACACTCGATACGATCGTCGATAATGCTTTTAACTACCAAACGCTGAATAAATTGACGAGTTTAACATTTGTTGATGTGCAATTGAAATCTTTGAACGCGCAAACGTTTCTTGGATTGGAAACTGTGGAAAATTTCCAACTGTTCAATGTGCTCAAGCAGGTAACTCTGCCTTTGAACGCTAGTAATTTCTTGCAACCAATGGCTACGAGTCTCAGCAATTTAGTGTTGCAACAAACAGAGAAATCATGTTGTTCCAATGCCTGTCTCTTATACACATCTAGATGTGTATAAGAGACAGGACTTGAGCGGCACGAAGTTTAACGACACCCTTAACGGTAATACATTCGCTAAATTATTAGCTGTGCAAGAACTTCGGCTGGCCAATTGCAGTTTGAGCAGAATCGCCGAAAACGTATTCACTGGCATTATGTCCACACTTAAATCGCTCGATTTGCGATATAATCGTTTGCAGACGCTGGACGGTAAGTTCCTATGTGCTGCTATTTCCAAAGGAATCATCATGGAATTGGGGTGGAATATGTGGAGATGCGATTGTGACAATATGGAAACAATTGAGTACATGAAGCAAATAGAAAATAATTCCGCGGCCAATACCGTATGTGCAACACCAACAGATTTAGCAGGCACACAAGTTAGTTCGTCGCAAATAAGCTGTTACAGTGAGAAATTCATATATGAGATGATAATGCATAAATAACAAAATACCTTTTCAGTCACGACCGTACCTACAACAATCTTAACAACCACAGCAGCCACTACAACTACAACTACAACACCAACCACAACTATTACGGTTGAAACCACATTAGCAACAAAAGAGACTAGTGCAGACACTATACCAACATCTTCCACAATTGCAATCGACAGCACAAGTTTAATGGCTTCAGACTCTACCACAAATATTGCGCCGACAACCGTAGATGATAAAACTGAGGAAATTGCAGAATCGAGTCCAGAAACTCTACCAACAACTTATACAACTATCATCGACAACTCAACCTTAATGACGTCAGCTACAACGGAAGGAACAGATGTAAGTGAAAGCACTGGTAAGTATCTTAGAAATTTCTGAAACTATAACTATCCACATCAAAGAAATGAAATGGATTCAGAGATTCGGACAGTTTTGCTAGCGTATCACTATTTTGTGATTATTATAAGCATCTGTTACCATGCAAAGATCCGATGTGTTTTGGGAAAGTCAGAAAAAATATCTTTCTAATATTAGAATATCCTCTTGCCTAAAAGAAATGAAATCTGGGCAATACTTCTCCTATCCCCATCTTTTGTACCTAATTAATCGATTTTCAAGCATCCTTACAGCTTATATATTGTTTAGTCTGTTAGTTTTCTTAATTTGCAAATTGCATAAGAATAATTATTCGGTTATATCCGATATGAGCTCCTCCTTACTTGTTACAATTACCTTTTTCCGACAGTCTTGGCCATAATATTTTCAAGTTCGTCATCATATCAGAACACAGAGCTCTTATTTGGAGATGGTGAACTGGAATTCAGAAAATAGAACGAACTTGACATGAAATTATTAAAGAGCGAAAAAAGAGTTTGCCCGCAATATGATGCCAAATTTGGTTTAATCAGACATTTGGTTTAATTAGGCACTGCTTACGCTGTTATAGCCGAGTTTGCAACAGCGCACCAGTCGTTCTTACTTTTCACTGTTCGGCGCCAATTGGAGACTCCAAGTGTAACCAGGTTCTATTCAACATAGGTCTTCCTCTTCACCTGTTTGCTCTGGCGGGTACAACGTGGAATACTCTCAGAGCTGAAGTGTTTTCATCTATTCGGATGATATGACCTAGCCAGTGAAGCCGCTGTCTCTTATTTCGATTAACTATGGCAATGTCGTCGTATACCTCGTAGAGCACATCGTTCCATTTACTGCGGTATTCACCATTGCCAACACGCAAAAGACCATAAGTCACGCCTCATACCATACCATAGCAGTACAGGTGATTATGGGTGACTTGTAGAGTTTTGCCTACTCAGTCCGAAGAACTTAGCACGTGTTGCACCCTTATAGAAGATTGTACATTCTCTATTTAGTTCGAGATGAACTATTTTCTCCAGGAGTAGATTAAAGAAGTCGCAAACTGATAAGGCCCAATCAAATTGTTGACCGTGGGCTATAACCTTTATCATAGACAAAACGTTATAAGCTTTATTGAGCAGACTAATCCCATGGTAGTTACCGCAGATTGTGATGTTTCCCTTTTTGTGGATTGGGAAGATCACACACTGGTGGCACCAGGTCTTTTGGCCCAAATCCAAAGTGAAAACGATTCTCATTGTCTTTTTTGACATCAACAAGACTCAAACCATGGGTCACTCGGGTTCGACAAGACATCGCAGCCGATTTGGAAGTCGCATCACGATAGTGCGTCGACTTGCACCGCCTTTGTAACCTCCCTACAGCCCAGATGTGACCCCCTGGACTTTGTTTTGTTTCCTTGCCCAAAAAGGCCGATGATAGGGGATCCAGGCAGTGTGCACCTCACGGCTATACCGGAAAATGCCTTCCGTGACACCTTCAATGCTTGGAAATCGCGCTGGCAGCGTTGCATCGACGCAGAAGGAGTCTATTTCTAAAGTTTTTAAAGAATTGGTTCAATAAATTTTTTTAAATCGACTCGGTCCTATTACTATCCGGACAAACCCTGTACAACTTGGCTTTCGACGTCTACAACAGGGTACAATACAGAAACTACAAGATTTACCACAACTATCCTTCTTAGTACATTATCTTATAGCGCAGACACTTTTCACTTCATTACCCTATCTCAAGAAATAGTGTTGCGCACATTATTGAAACAACTTCTGGAGCAACCCAACAAGTCTGAAAACCGCGACTTTCTTTTGTTCAGGGGCGGTCCTAACGGTAGCTAAGACATCGCTAGAATTGTGTTGACAAAGAATAAGCAGCATTTTCAAAATATCTTTTTCGGAAAGTTCGCAAATATGGCTGAAATTGCGTTTAAGAAAGTTACTAGTGTGGTCTCTTAAACAGACTTTATTAAACCTACAAGAAAAAATTCGGACTTGATATAAATAAGTAGTAAGCTGTATTGTAGTTTATTAGAGAAGAGTATAGATTTCTTTAAAGGTTAACAATTTTTCAGATAAAACTTTGGTCTCAACAATAGTTACAACGATTTCTCCAACAAAACCCAAATATACTACTATCAGTACATCTGCAGGAACAACTAGCGAGACTGTCACACCACCTTCATCACCAATGACGTCCACGACTGAAGACAACTCATCTAAGGAAACATCCAAACCCATATCGACAACAACAACGCCACAACTAACCGACACAACAAACGACAATACAACCTTAACTTTTTTTACGGGAACAATAACAATACCAATAGCAACTGATGATACTACGGAAGGAACAACAAAGGGAACTGTTAACCCCGAAAATACAACGGAAATTGTTATCAGTAAGTACAAATCTTGGATGGTTTTAGAGACCTGTTAATTCTTATTTCGAAATGTATGTATTTCAATTAATCCATTGTATGAAAAACTCACTTCTAATCTCACGGTTTTCACACGTTTTTACCTATTTCAATCGCAAAGATACGACCCTGACCTGGAGCACCTTCGTTCCCACGACGATTATACCATCAACAAATTCTTGCTTTGGAAATAAAGCGCCAAAGTATTTACCTTGCAGCGATATCGTAGCCTTTAAGCTATGTGACTATGACGTCACTTTCAATGTGGCCCCCATATCATCGCGAAGTGTGCAATTGCAAATCGGTGGCGGTGCGAATGATTTACACATAATCTACTTTCGAGTGACGGACAACAGTATAAGTGAGGATGTGGAGATCGAGAATAATATCGAAATCGTTATAAATAACTTAGTGCCGAATGGAAGTTATACCTTCTGTCTCATACCGAAGAATAAAATGAGTACCTCACCATTTAATTGCCGTTCAGCGCACTTGCCGCAACTTGAAGCATGGTTGGAGTATAACGCTGTTGCGCTTTTTTGCACGATCGCCATACTCGTAACTGTTGTTTGCGCAGTTATGGGGGTGACAGGAGTATATTTTCTACTGCGTTGGCGGCCAACTTTCTTGTATGGCAATAAACGTTTGCATCGTATTGCTTCGACCACGCACGAAGTGCTACTACTACCGAAACCGATTCGCACATCTGTAGACTCGAAAACATACGCACTCAGTGAACTCTCCAAAATGCATTCATCGGTCAGCGATTCATTGACACCGGAGAATTACTTAAATATTAATTCGTATGATTATATGCAGTACGTCAAAGATATCGAGTTGAAGAAACAACGAAGAGTGGCACATATTTCCACGAATCAGCCTCCGATACATCGAGCCCCTGCATTGCCACCAAATGTTGTTGGCGCTGCAACGAATAGCTACACCAGTGGTTATATACCAATTCGACATCCCTCACAGCTATCGGCAGTAGTAATGAAAGACGCGCAACAGCAGCAGAGGGGTGTACGTAGGGGTGCACCGACGAATTTACCGCCAGAGCCAGTGGATGTCGTGGAGAACGAATATGAAAGCTTGGATTATTATCAGGAAATTTATTAAATGATTTAATGAAATTTTAGAAATATTTTAGTCTTCGATTGTTAATTGAGATTATATAATAATAAAGATAATACATAATATAATATAATTGTAAAGTCAAGAAGAAGCTGCGGGGCATACCTCTCTTCATTTAATCACGGTCTGGCTATTTGGTGTTCGTTTTTGCTTTCAAGCAGTTTGTAGTGCGAAATAAACAATTAATTGAGTCTCAATTTCAACTTAATTGTCATTAAATTTACCAAAAATTTCTTAAGTAGTAAAGAAAAACTATTAATATAGTATATATATAATATATATTAATGAAAACTTAAAATAAACAAGTTAAAATTGAATAATCTTTGTTTTTAATACTAAATATACCAGCATTACATTTGCTTCCTAAACTCATGAGATATGCGAATTACCATGAAATTAAACGCCTTTCGTTTCGAAAAAAAATAAAATTCCTTCTTTGCCTACGGGCTCACTGAATTCTATTTATCAGGCAATTGTCAGCTATAATTCAAACAATAGTCACTTGATTAGTACGCAGATAAGCAAATCATTATTAATTGTTCATCAAATAAATTAAATATGGAAAATTGTTGGTACTTGTGATATGGAAATTGAATATTGAAAATCAGTTTGTTAGGAGTGGTTGAAAGGATATAGTCAAGTGAAAATCTAAGCGGAACTGAAAATCGAAACCCAAAGATAAATTAAAAAGTACGACTATTTAATTTTTATAAATATTCACGGTTACTTATACCCTTTTTAGTTCATAGCTGAATGAGAGTTTTAATTATGCCACTACTAATCGCTTTCTCATTGCTTTTGCTGTTGAATAATGTGAGCCTTTCGTTTGAGTCATATGAGTTGACACCTTCAGACGAAGTCATTGCAGTTGCAGCACCAAGCCAAATAAAGAACGTAATCTCTAACGCTAGCACCGACGGCGGTATTCTGTTGCAGATGTATGGACTTAAGAGTTTGTTTCAGTAGGGCACTTGAACAAGGTTCAGCCAGTAGCAACGACAAAGTAAGGAAGCATTTGCAGACTCAGCCGATTAATCAACTCAAAATTAGTTAGTTTTTTTTTTTTTTTTTAAGAATTTTCATTACGAAAATTTCATACAATTTCCAGAATACTGTTTACACCAACTATTAAGAGTTAGTAATTTACTTTTTAACTGGCTGAGGGTAGTTTTATATCTCCACTAAATAAATGATATAACGGTAAATTTATAGAATTTACTTTTAAAAAATTTATCGTCTGTTTGGTAAAGTCATTTGGTCTTGTTTAAAACTTGAAAACTGAGCTGGTAAAAAATATCTACGATAACTAAAATTCAAGCCGGACCCACTCTACGCTTGAACGGATAATGCTAATAAAAACATTTAGAAGTGACATTAACGGACTATAGTTTCGTTTTGCATGTCCAGTTCTAATCAACCTTCACATTCATATTGCTACAAAAGTGGTTGAATTAGATCCAACATATGGATAGACTAATTAGTTTAGAGAAATTTGACGTACTAGAAACTTCATATCACAATTCTAATAAATTTCGTTAAAATACTGTTGCTTTCATAGTTATATAGTAGTTCGTTTTCCTCAATACTACTACATTATGTACATATATTTTTTAGGGTTTTTGCTTGTACAGACAATAACTCGTGTCAGAACATAAAATGCTCGGGAGGTCCGATATATACACTCCAAGTTGAATTCGAGTACATTTGGAATTGGTGCGGTAATAAATATTTTGACGTCATCATAGAGGATTGCACATTCAACCAAAATACTATTAGCCGATCCACATTCTCAGGGAGTTTCAAGTTGTCCACGTTAACAATACGAAATTGCCAGCTCGATACGATCGCCGATAATGCTTTTAACTACAAAACGCTGAATAAATTGACGAATTTAACATTTGTGGATGTGCAATTGAAATCTTTGAACGCGCAAACGTTTCTTGGTTTGGAAGCTGTGGAAAATTTCCAACTGTTCAATGCGCTCAAGCAGGTAACTCTGCCTTTGAACGCTAGTAATTTCTTGCAACCAATGGCTACGAGTCTAAGCAATTTAGTGTTGCTACAAACAGAGGAATCATGTTGTTCCAATGCCATCTATGATCCCACTGAGTGGTTGGGTGGTAACAGCGCCACCGTCTAYAGTAAACTAACGTATGTCGACTTGAGCGGCACGAAGTTTAACGACACACTTAACGGTAATACATTCGCAAAATTATCAGCAGTGCAAGAACTTCGGCTGGTCAATTGCAGTTTGAGCAGAATCGCCGAAAACGTATTCACTGGCATTTTGTCGACACTTAAATCGCTCGATTTGCGATATAATCGTTTGCAGACGCTGGACGGTGAGTTCCTAGGCGCTGCTATTTCCAAAGGAATCATCATGGAATTGGGGTGGAATATGTGGAGATGCGATTGTGACAATATGGAAACAATTGAGTACATGAAGCAAATAGAAAATAATTCCGCGGCCAATACCGTATGTGCAACACCAACACATTTAGCAGGCACACAAATCCGTTTTGCGCAGCTAAGGTGCCATGGTGAGAAATCTATACAATATACAAGAGTAAGTAAATAGCTTTTATTACAAAATATCAACTTATCACGACTTTATCGATTTTTTCAGACACAACCACGCTTACAACCATTATGACGAACTTAACTACTATAGGAGTCACTACAACTATAGCTATGGAAACGAAAACAACAATGGTCACAACCACAGATTATACCACAAGGGAACCGACAAAACCTATCAGTAAAGCAACTTCAACTTCAATTTCTTCTACAAATACAATCACTGCCTCAACTTTGCCGATATCAACCGCTGATATAACATCGACTACTGCAAGTGATAAGACTGAAGACAACACAGACTCTACTACAATTATAAGTGCCGATACTACTACTACGACTTCATCGTCTATCACAAGTATTGTGCCGACAACTTTAGATGAAAGTATTGAGGTAACCACAGAGTCTAACTCAAAAACTTCATCAACGTCTTCTACAACTGCAAACGACAACTCAACCTTTCCGACTTCAGCCTCTGGCACAAGTATATCGCCGACAACTACTGTTGATAGGACTGAGAAAACGACAGAGTCTAACTCAGAAACTCCATCATCGCCTTTTACAAATATAAGTGCCGATACAACTACTATGACTTCATCCTCTATCACAATTATTGTGCCGACAACTTTAGATGATAGCACTGAGGTAACCACAGAGTCTAACTCAAAAACTTCATCAACGTCTTCTACAACTGCAAACGACAACTCAAACTTTCCGACTTCATCCTCTGCCACAAGTATAACGTCGACAACTACTGTTGATAGGACTGAGGAAACGACAGAGTCTAACTCAGAAATTCCACCAACATCTTCTACGACTCCAAACAACGACACAACAGTATCGACTACATCTTCTGACACAAGTAAAATGCCGACCACTTCGGATTCCACTATTATAAACACAACACAGTCTAATTCAGAAAATCCATCAAAATCTTCTACAACTACAAACCACAACCCCATCTCGTCGACTTCATCCTTTGCCACAAGTATAACGCCGACAACTAATGATGATAGGACTGAGGAAACAACAGAGTCTAACGCAGAAACTTCGGAAACAACTTCTGCAATCACAATCAACCAACCAACCTTGTCGACCTCTTCGTCAACCGCAATTATGACGCTAGCAACACCACATGATAAAGTTGAGGAAACAACTGTATCTGCTTCCTCGGGTGCAGCAAGCATTCACCGATGGTAACATTATAACTCGAAGTAAAATTTGTAGTTTAAAAGTTTAAAATGTGTTCTTGTTAAACGATGTTGTCTCAATCTTTCCAAATGCATATTATTCGCATTGACTTGGTAAAAAAAAAAAAATATATATGTATATATACAATGAAACTCCATAAAATATACTGGAAATATATAAACCTATTGTTTTCTGTTAATGCAACATATTAAGGGTAAGAAAGAATTAAATTCATGTAGATGTATTAGATTTTCTGAGAAATTTCGAATTTGTTCACATGGATAGGAATGAATCGTCTCAGATGCAGAGTATACGTAGGATTGCAGAGGCAAGATTATCTCTAGATCCAGTGGATGTCATGGAAAGTAAATGCGAAAGTTTGGCTTATACAGAAAATAGCGACAAACAGTCAAAATATAGCTATCTTTAGAAGCTACAACCCAATGACTGGGGCATGTCTCTTTTCGTTTAATAACCAGTGCTATTAAGTTGTTTTCATAAAATAATGTTGTGCAATAAAATACAACTGTAGATATTATTGAACTTTGAGGAATAAACTTAAGCACGATTCCTTTTTAGGTTAGTTTATGTCAGAAACAATGAGTGTATTATATTATATTAAATTATTTAACTTGCAGATCTGCAAATTTCAGTCATTCTGGGGATGGCAACTATGTACTGGGTTTGTCCGGAAAGTAATAGGATTGAATCTATATAAAAAATTTCATTAAACCAATCCTTACAATTCTTTTTAAGTTTTCAAACTAGGCTCCATTTGCGTCGATGAAGCGTAATTTCCACCATTGAAGGAGTCGCGAAAGGCATTCTTCGGAATAGCTGAGGTGTTCTGTCGTCTCAAAATGCTTGCCTTTCATCGGCCTTTTCGTTGCGTTGGGATGCCGATCCAATCAGCTGCGATGTCTTGAGTTGGCCCTTCACTTGAGGCTCTTGACGACGTTCTGCGTAAAACTTTCCGTTGAAGGTTTGTCCATGAGGGAGAAATTCATGGTGGATGATGTCTTTGATGTCAAAAAAGACAATGAGCATCGTTCAGTTGCTAGGTTAGAAATACAAAAAATTCCTTTGTCCAACCTGTTGTAGGGTTGGACCGGCTGAGTTAATAAGCTTTAGAAACGACTAGCTGCTAATTTTTTCTTTCAAAAATCTAACCTAACTTATCTATTTAGGCTTTAGGCCAACCTAGTCCCTGAATGCCCTTATTAAAGTTTCAATTATTTGAATAATTAAGTGATCTTAATTGCTATGGTATTTATTATAGCTTTACAAGTAGAAAAAGAAAGCATTACATTGGAAGATTTCAAATAAATTTGATATGAAAACACTAAGACTCAATAGAAAGGCTAAGACTGAAATGAGGTCGAAGTAGTTAGTCTGGAATTGTAAAAAGATGAAGACACTAAACGATATCATTGACCTTCCGAAACGAACCATCAGCTGTTTGAGACGTTTCGCGGCTCCTAACGTTTCAATCGCAGTAAATTTTTCAGCAAAAGTGTAAAAATGTAAGGAATTTTTATCGAACATAGAGAAGAAGTAGCATGGGACTCACTTGATTGAATTTCGTCTCATTTGGAAACACAATAGTACTTGCATTCTTCAATTGATGCAATTTTCAATGGAATTAGTATAAATCTTGTTAGAGAAGAATGCTTGGTTGTGCGATATGTTAATTAGCCTGCATTATCATGAAATTAACGGACTTCCTGTTCGTGATTCCTGCCCTCGGTGATTTTAGAAATTATATAATTTTCTTCATTGCCTACTGGTTCACTGAGTGCCACTTATCAGCCAATTGCCGGCTTTAAATCAAGCAATAGCCATTTTGTTAGCACGCAGATAAGCAATTCATTATTAACTTTGTAACAAATAAATTAAATATGGAAAACTGTTGGTATTTGCGATTAGAAATGGAATATGAAAAATCAGTTTGTAGGGAGTGGTTAAATGAATAACTGTGAACTAAAAATTACGGCAATCAAAACAAAAGGATATATCCGAATTCAAGTTTGTATAAAGAGTGTAAAAATAATCCTTAAAACGGATCCCTTCGCATAAATAACTACATAGATAATAAAACGAAAATAAGATTTTCGTTGATTTGTAAACTGTATAAATTTCTCAACTTGCCTTTTAATCCCTTTATTCAATTCTCAGCTTGATGAAAGTTTCCATTATGCCACTACGCATTGCTTTCCCATTCCTCTTGGTGTTGAGTATTTCGAAGTATTTGGTTGAATCGTATGATTTGGTCTCGGCAGCTTCAGATGGGGGCGATGCAATTACAGCACAAGGTCCAATGAGGAACGTAATCACTATCGCTAGCATTAACTACGGCGTACCGATGAAGCAAGATTTAATTCATAGCGGTGAAAGTAGGGGCGAAGAAAAGGAAGATGTGGTGGATGTTACTACGCAGTACTGGAACGATGCTCAGGCAATGGCGGCGACCACGTAAGCAAAAACAGAATCACGCAATTTCACGGTTTTAGACCAATAGTTTCATAGGGAAAGTTATTCAGAATGAACCGTAGAATATTTCGCCAGTTCCGAGCTTTCTTCGCGTTTATTTACCAAAAAATGTGACATCCACATTACAGGATTATGTCTTCCAAACAATTAAATATTTCCTTTTATTTAGGAATTCCTATTGCACAGACAAAAACACGTGTAAGACAGTAATTTGTGTTGGTGGACTCATCTACGATCTCCAAGTTGAATTCGATTACATTTTGAATTGGTGCGGTAATAAATATTTTGACGTCATCATAGAGAATTGCACATTCAACCAAAATACTATTAGCMGATCCACATTCTCAGGGAGTTTCAAGTTGTCCACGTTAACAATACGAAATTGCCAGCTCGATACGATCGCCGATAATGCTTTTAACTACAAAACGCTGAATAAATTGACGAATTTAACATTTGTGGATGTGCAATTGAAATCTTTGAACGCGCAAACGTTTCTTGGTTTGGAAGCTGTGGAAAATTTCCAACTGTTCAATGCGCTCAAGCAGGTAACTCTGCCTTTGAACGCTAGTAATTTCTTGCAACCAATGGCTACGAGTCTCAGCAATTTAGTGTTGCAACAAACAGAGAAATCATGTTGTTCCAATGCCATCTATGATCCCACTGAGTGGTTGGGACGTAACAGCGCCACCGTCTACAATAAACTAACGTATGTCGACTTGAGCGGCACGAAGTTTAACGACACCCTTAACGGTAATACATTCGCAAAACTATCAGCAGTGCAAGAACTTCGGCTGGCCAATTGCAGTTTGAGCAGAATCGCCGAAAACGGGTTCCTGTCTCTTATACACATCTAGATGTGTATAAGAGACAGGCCAATACCGTATGTGCAACACCAACAGATTTAGCAGGCACACAAATCCGTTTTGCGCAGCTAAGGTGCCATGGTGAGAAATCTATACAATATACAAGAGTAACTAAWTAGCTTTTATTACAAAATATCAACTTATCACGACTTTATCGATTTTTTCAGACACAACCACGCTTACAACCATTATGACGAACTTAACTACTATAGGAGTCACTACAACTATAGCTATGGAAACGAAAACAACAATGGTCACAACCACAGATTACACCACAAGGGAACCGACAGGACCTATAAGTCAAGAAAATTCAATTTCTTCCACAAATACAATCGCTAACTCAACGTCTTCTACAACTATAAGCGCCGATTCAACCTTTCCGACTTCAAGCTCTATCACAAGTATATCACCGACAACTACTGTTGATAGAACTGAGGAAACCACAGAGTCTAACGCAGAAGCTCCATCAACATTTTCCATGACTACGAACAAAAACGCAATGTCGACTTCATCCTCTGGCACAAGTATAACGCCGACCACTTTAGATTCCAGTATCATTAACGCAACATGGTCTCATTCACAAACTTCGTCAACGATTTCTACAACTACAAACGATAACTCAACCCTCCCGACCTTGTCGACTTCATCGTCAACCACAATTATGATGCCAACAACTTCAGATGATAAGGCTGAGGAAACAACTGTACCGACTTCTTCGGGTGCTGCAAGTATTCATCGATGGTAAGAAGATAACTCGTAGCACTTAGCTTGAATGTTCTATTTTTAAACGAGTTTTCCCAAAACGCTATTTACCATACTTTACTCCCTCATATGAGTCGACTTGATCTATTCTAAAAAAATGTTTACATACGTTAAAAGAAATAAATATATATGCATTATTCAAGTCTGTTTTTTCTTCCTGGAATGGAAAATATTACGGAGTAAAGAGTTCAGGTGGAACTCTATATTAGATCCCTTTCCATAATTTTCTTAAGTCAATATGCAAAAAGTCGTCTTTGTACGTCTGATTTTAGAATGTGGTGACGTTGACTGTTCAAAACGATCTATTCACTCGACTAGGCCTTACCTCTACAGTGTAGTTAGCCCATGTAGTGGCCCATTAATGGTCCATTAGAGAGCTCAAAGCAAACGGAATTGTTTGTTTTGACAAATAATCGGGTGTATATTGTACTGTTCGAGCGGTAGTTGAAATAAATTGTAAAAAGCTGTAATAATAGAAATACCATTTCTGATATGCTTTAAATATAGGTAGGTCTTTCAAAAGTTGAAGTTTATATTTATTATACATTAAACATTTTAATCCATAATAAGCTAAATAGCAAGTTGTGATCGATTTAGAGCTCTAATCTGTTTATATTATATAACGAAATTGGTTTGTTCGCTATATATACATATATAGATGGTCAGGATGAAAGCATTAATTGATTCTGCGTGTGCCTGTCTGTAAATCCGTCCGTCTGTTCATGGAACCAAAAACCTTGAATACGCTCTACACACACAAAAATTTGTAGGAAGTTTTCACTTCCTGAAATAAGTCGTACTCTAGCACTTATATGGTTTTTGACTCACAGGATCCTACTTAAAGTCGGTTTTGATGCAAATTCGAGAAAAATCCTTTACTATTTTGAACAGATATAATGAGTAACTATTGTATATATCTGAGAGTACACAATATGCAAATTAAATATATTCTTTATATGGTTATCAGTTCGATATGAAGGAAAGATAACAAAGCACTGATAAAAAAAAGCACTTGATTATTAAATGCCGAAAGTAAATATTAATATATGTATGACGGGTATATCAGCTCCTGCGAGATAATCAAATAATCGTGTGTACACAATATTTAATATCACCGATTTTCTAGTGTTAGTTCAGTATTAAATAGTTACGCGACCGGGCAATGTCATCAGCCGAAAACAAAGACGCACCTGTTAAACCTAAACTTGCCACACAAGCTAGGAATGTGCATAAAGGTGGCAAAGAAGAGAAACCGAAAAAATGGTAGACATTGAGTATTGAATATATTTATGACTAACACACTCATAATTTTCTGAAATTTCTCATAACAGCTGCTGGAAAGCATACTTTCTGAGCGATATCTGCATACAGGTCACCGCCTGGTTGCTCCTCACCGCCGGCTTGTGCATTATAGCGTGCACCATTTATGTGGGTATTCTGATGGAAAATAATCGCGGTAAATGTGCGGATTTCAATCAAACTCATGAATTTGATTACGTAACGGAGCATACTGGCGCGTATGAGGAGCCAACGACAGAGAATTTGAACAAAAGCGTCAGGTAGGCTTTAAGCAAATTTCTCTTACTTATACTTATACAAAGCGAAATAAAGATTTTGTACTTTTACATTAAAAAAGTAATCAATAAACTAATAAAAAATAAATATCTCAGGTCTCTTGCTCTACCGATTTTGGATGTTGCGGAAGACAGAAACGGATGTAGAGTAATTAATTGCAAGGTCTCTTGTATGGACGCGTTTTATTTCTATGAAATGCTTTATAAGGCTACCACGGTAAGATTTAGTGATAAAATATATCTAAGTTAAAAAATAATCATAATTTTTTAAACATTAAAATGGTTAATTTTCAATGTACTCAAAGCTAAAAAGCTTGTCGCTTTGATATATAATATCCCCTATAGTTATAGCTCTGATAACATAAGAGGATGTAAAATGATATTGGTTATGTTCGTTCAGTTTACTTGGCAGCTATATGTTATAGCAGTCTGATCGGAACAATTTATTGGCAGATTACACAGTTACTTTGCGCAATAATTCATTCCAATTTTTTTTTTTTTTTTTAATATCTCATTAAGTAAAGAATTGTTCCACAAATTGAATTCTATATATATTGATCCGATATTATCTATTCCGACAAATAAGCAACTTCTTGGATAGGAAAAGAACGTGTGCAAAATTTCAGATCGATATATGGGAAACTTCTTCATGGTATAAAAAAAGTGTGATTATTATTTGTTATCGATAATACTATGTTGATTGTGGTGCCAATTCACGGTTTCGTCTAACGATCGATATAGGATGAAAGATAATCCAGCTACACTCTGTGGTCAAAGCAAACTAGGCAAAAGCTGCATAACTGATTTTGTATTAGATAAATGAAATGCTAAATTTACCAGTATTCATAGCATTTTGGAAAAAAAAAATATTCGAAAAAATTAACTAAAAATAATAAATCGCTATAGAGGAAGCGAGAATGTATTAGTACATATTAGTTTTGGTAAAATGCTTCGAAAGATCATCACATCTCTACATCATCCTTAAGAAATATTTTTCTTTAAATCAAATAATCAACTCGAGCATAGCAAATGTATAGTAAATCTTTATTTATTGTTAGCCGAACATTTTATACTCTTGCAACGTGCAGCAATTAAAGCTGACGAAAGACCATCAGGTGCATATGGTTTATAAAGATCTCCGTATTTCAATAGCATAACTGACAGATCGACCGATATTTTTGATGATTTAGTAGTTTTTAACAAAACCTACGCCCCGGCTCACACCGCCTTTCAACTACCTAACAAAAGCCGGCATCCAAATGCTGTGTGAGGCTAACTCTTAGCCATCATACTACACTGGATCATATTAGAGTGCTTAGAAATGTACATAACATAACCCAACTTTTCCCAAATTAAAAAAAAAAAAAACAAAAAAATAAAAAAATCAATTGGTTCGTTGAAGTTGCGAAGAAATATTCAAATTTCATTACCAATTATGCTTCATTATTTACACATTTGAAATAATTTTCAGTTTTTGGTATTTCAGCATTCTTTCCAAATTCGAAATATATAATCGCTTAACACAAATTACTGACCTAATGCTTTCTTTATTCGCTCAAAGGCTGCCACTTGCACCACTTTCGACGCGGTACTAATCAGAGAGCAGAGTTTTGTAAATGGTGTTTTAGACAATTTCTGGATTGATTGCAACCGGCCCATCTACGAGCTAGTAATTAGTGAGAGCAATGTTACATGTATTAAAAGTGGCGCCTTCAATTCACCGCTCTTCGTGGATACATATCTCTTGACGTTAAGTGGCCTACAATTGACTAAAGTTGGTAGTGGTACCTTGCTAGGTTTGCGTTCGCTGCGTTACCTAATCATTGACACACCACTTACCGACATAAATCGCGCTTTCTTCCAGCCAGTTCAATCGACACTGATGCACTTGCGCATGAATTGCGGTTTGACCATATTACCGAACGCCATATTCGGTGTGAGTACGTTGGAGAAATTAGAATATGCTGACCTAAGCAAAAATTTCTTTTACGGCCCACTAACACGACAAATGTTTCGAGCCACGCCCAATTTGCGCTATCTACACATGACACAATCGAGAGTCACTGCTATCGAAGCGGATGCATTTGACGATCTGAGTGGGGAGCTGGAAGTGCTTGATCTATCGGAAAATTTAATCAAAACTATTTCAAGCACTGTGCTAAAACCGTTATTGTTGGGTTCGAAGCGTACGCTGATCAGTTTGGCGCACAACAAGTGGAATTGTGTGTGTGAATTGCTGGAATTAGCTAAACTCTATCGAAAATACCGTAAGTCATTTTTAAGCAGCATCTTTTGTCAATCTCCTGAGCTTCAACATGGTAAGCCGTTGAATGAATTGATTTCCAAAGATGGTAATTGTATGTTGAAGAATATCAGCGAGACTTACGAATCGCTAGTCACCACAATTCATAATAGGGTAACTAGCACTCGCACTAAAACAACTAGACCAAGTGCAACAACTAATAGGACAATATCTACGACTACAATGCACCAAACAACACACACAACGATTAGCCCAACAACCACACAAAAACACTCTACATCTACTGTCAAATGCAACACCACAATCGCAACGTCAAACGTGAGTAACAACGCAATAGAAAGTGATGGCTCCAGCAGTCGGTCTAGTGCAGAGGATTTAAATACAATACAATTGCGTTGCTTGCACATTTTGAGAAGTGGGAACCAAAGAGAAGTGGTATCTAATACAGCGGTTTCCAAGCGCTCAAAAGCAGCTTTTGCGTCGGATTCTAAAAGCTTGTCTGAACTTAACCAAACAGAAACAAGCGAAGACATCGTCGAAAATTCCGTCGAGCTGGAGCAAAGCCTAACGGTAGCACCAACTGTCACGCAGTACTTAAGCAAAACTACTTCAGAAGTCGTCGGGATTACGAATATAACGAAGTTACGGAGCAAACGAGAATATCACAATCCATCGATGGCCTATTATAAATTTGAGGTTCCAACATATAATTTCAAGTTGACTTTGTTGGCGAATAATTCAGTGCAAGTGCTGATAAACGATTACACAGGACAACCGAAAATCAATATGATATGGTTTAGCCGCCAGAATGAAGTGGCTAGTATTGAGAATGACGATGAAGCAGCACAAAATATCGACTATCATTGTGAGATGTATCAAAGACCATATTTATTGGTTAGCAAACTTAGTGAGAACACCACTTATACATTTTGCATGTTAGAAATACCGCAAACAACGATTTCGCCATTCAATTGTCTGCCATTGTATGTGCCGAGTTCGATAATGGAACCAGATAATACCTGGATTACGCAGGAGGATAAACAATTCACTTTGGGCATGTTGTCATTGATTTTCACACTTTCGGCATTGTTTGGTGGAATCATTGCCTATTTCGGTATCAAAACATATCCGGAACTGTTGGAGGGATCGAAGAATGTTTTGGTTGTAAAGCGTTCAGAACAAGAGTCCGAATATTTGCAAAGTATGGGTTCCATTAAAAAGGAACCGCTTAGTAGACGATCAACAACAAAGTAAGTATGATATATTTGCGCAATATTGCCACTTTTGTACCCAGAAATAGAAGATGGTAGATGGAAGAGGGAACTTTAACGAATATAACCCATGAATTTAGAAAAAATAAAACAAAATTATAAACATATATCTCTTTTCATATTCCATCTATTTATATTATTTAATCGCAAATACTTTATCTGCAATATTATGGTTTGCAGGCATATACTAGCAGCTTCGGAAATGCCACCGTTGTCCTTGCCACCACCACCGCCATTCAGCGTATCGAATTACAATTTGGAGCGTTTATCGAGCATCAAATCGTCTTCTACATTATTTGAGAGTTCATTCTGTCCGCCGCCATTTTCCGTTCTGGACGATCAATATGAGTTGCCCAAGCAATATAGTCGAAATGTCGAAGAGGAGCGTTGCGTGCCCAATCCATATGCCATGAGCCCGTGTTCGCCACCACCCTTACCAAAGCGGAATCCGAGCATTACTTCGTCCATTGCGACAAATCGTTTCGCCAAAATTAAGTAATTGCAGGCATTTCAGAAAAGGGTTTTGAAATTAAACAGTAACTTAAAATGGTTATAATGTGAAAATTGGAATCAAGAAAATCAATTAAATTGTAATCTATATAAATATAATATGTGTACGTATCTCTAACAATTTCTAAAAAAATATAACAGCGACAAATATAATTCATACAATGTTTCTCTAAATATTTTATGTGAATAAATTTCGTAATTATTCCGAGCACCATCAACCAAGGGACTATCATACCATATACAGGGCTTAATAGGACTGAGTCGATTTAAAAGTAATTATTGAATCAATCGTTACAATCCTTTGAAAACATTCAAAATAGTCTCCTTCTGCGTCGATGCACGCAGCCAGCGCGATTTCCAAGCATTAAAGGTGTCACGGAAGGCATTCTCTGGTATAGCCTTGTGAGCCGAGGAACATGCTGCTTGTCATGCTCGGTCGTCTTAAAATGCTTACCTTTCATCGGCCTTTCAGGCAAGGAAACAAAAAATGTTTGATGGGGCCACATCTGGATGTAGGGTGGCTTTAATTCCAAATGCCAGTATTAACATTCTCAAGCCTAAATACATATTGTCGAATGCGTCGAACGAAAGCGGAACTGAATACTGAGTCCTACGCAAAGCCCTAGTTTCAAGATAAGATTTCATTATACAATCCATTCAACTGTCTCAATTTTTACTGGCAATGAGAAATTCTTTTCCATGAAACTTTAGTTTATAAAATATATAAAACTCATAGAAAGTGAACATTTTCAATATTTTTGAATACTTCAAACAGATTTTTACTTTCAGACACACATACATACAAAGACATATTTTTTCTACACATTTTAATTAAGAAACTAGGACGAAATGGTACGAAGCTTAACACAAAAAACTGTAATATTTACCTTACTTATAAAAACCACGAAATTATCTTTCTCAACCAGGCAACGGAGGATTCAATCGACGTATTCTCTGACAGTTGGATTCAAATCGGTGCATTAATGCCGGCGACAAGCCATACTCAGCGGAAAATGCGCATACAGCCCATGAAAAGACCTCATCTGAAACAACGTTCGGTAGCATCGAAAACCATGGTAAAAACAGCTATTAAAACACTAACGCGTAATCCACGAGTTGGCGTCTCGTTTATGGCAATCAAAAAATTTATTGAACAAAACTATTCCTTTACGGATACGAGCAAGCGATTTTACTTCGTCAAGCGTTACATTAGGAACTCGCTCGAGAAGGGTGAACTTATACGTACGAAGGGCTTTGGCGTGAGGGGTTCATTTCGTTTACCATTCAAAAAGCATGTTCTTAAAAAGAAACCGATCAAAAGGAAGCCAAATATCAATAAACAAAAACGTAAAGTCAGGAAGGCAAATATCAAAAAACGAAAACATAAAGTCAGAAACGCAAAACCTATTCAAAGAAAAGTTAGAAAACCAATGAAGGAGGTGACAAAATTGAATAATAGATCACGTGACGGACAATTGAGCGACGAAAACGCCATTGATGCAACTGCTTGTATCACCGAGGACCCGAAGCAAGAAATGAGCAATGTTGTGAGAAATCTGAATGACGTTTGAAAAGCAACACATGGCCAAACTGATGGTATACTCAAGGCATAAAACACGGCGATTAAAAAAAAAAAAAAACAAAAACAATATATATTTTTTATAAAAATAAACCACATTTCCTACCGCATTCGTGTAAATTTTTATGAATCTTGTTACAGAATCTGGCCTCTCTTTTTTTTGGAAGACAGCTATGGGTTTGTAGACAATGATCTGATATCGATCTTTTCGGTAAACGTGTAGCTTCATTGAAGGAAAGAATGTGCTCAATTTCTGACCAATATTTCGAAAACTGGGAATAGTGCATAATGATACATGGACATGGCTAAATTGACTCAGATCGTCGCGCAATTTTTTACGTTTTTTTTTTTATTTGTTGTGCATGTTTTCAGAAGAACTTTGTAACCTTCCTGAAAGTATCATACTTACTGATAGCATCGAACTCACTTTCTTAGAACATATACTTTTAGCCAATATTTTCTTTTTTGGACAAATGTAGTTCTGTGGCGAATGTGTGTTGCATAAAGAAATTCATGTTTGCTGGGTTACGGACGATAAGAACAAGTGTCTTATGTATTTAGATATTTATGTATGTATATATATTGATGTTTTGGTTGTTGGCACAGTCTGTCGCTTCAGCTATTTGCGGCTGTAGCTCGGCAATAATCTAAGAGAAACGCGCCTGTGAATATTCTATTTTTATTACATACTCATACATACAAACACACATAAATCTGCTTCGAAATCGACTAGATTATTGCCACAAGTACTCATTCACTTAAAAGTACATGAACGTAAAAACTCTCATGCTAATATACATACCATGTCTTTGGTATATATACTTATACAATATAACAGATATATACATTCATAAAATTTATTTATTTCATCTATCAATGAGTCGCGTGAATTTCATCGCGTGCCACAAGTACTTATGCATATGATTACTTTTACTTATTTGAGGCGTCTTTGTTCCTCATATAGCACTCATATAGGTAAGTCTTCCGCTGAATAAGTGAGAAGTATTTTCATGTTTGACAGAAAATTGCTGAAATTGTTTCCATGCAATTCCATTCCATTCTCAGGTGTTGGAGTGAGTACTATATACTTGAAAAGATTTATCTAAATTTTATTGCTTTATTGTGTGTTTTTGTTGTTCGATAAAGAGAGTGTCTTGTGGACATAATAAGAATCGTTTTTCAAAACAAAACTAGAAGGTTCATTGGATTATCGTTGCTATTTCTATTAAGCATGTTTTTGACACATATACTTAACGTTCTTCCACCTTTTTAACTTAGTTAAACCTTCCAAAAAGTATTAAGCTATTATCCAAATTTAATTATATTGCATAGTTGTGCTTTGTACACTTCAAAGTTCCGTTGTGAAATAATCATAATAACCACTTTTTAATTATAATTTACACATTCGTTTACACAATCTTCGCGTAAATCATATGTGTGACCACCGATAACATTACAACCACTCTCTTGCCACTCCTCACACGCATTTTGATCGGCATTGTAGTAGAAACCACTGATGAGCATATCGCAAAGACCTTGACCTTGTGGATGGGGTTGTAAGCAGTTTGCTGAATATATGATAATACAATAACAGTAAATGTTTTTATAAGATTACCAAAAAACCAACCTGGTCTTTCGGTCGCACTGCAACTGCTGAGAGCGCAAATAATCATTATTATTAATAAGTTCACTTTTGTCATAGTTACTGGAAATATAGTGAAACGTTTTTTATATTAAAGTAACTACTTTTCGGTTTTTAGTTATAGTTTTAAAATTTCCAGCATTAATGCTACTATTCCGACCACCTGTAGCGCTTATTTTCAACTGAGGCAAGCGTAATCGCTACTCGACCGTGAAAGTGAAAATAATTAAAAGATATTTGATATTTGTTTATAAAAATTATCAACTGTTGGCGAGGCTTTTGATAAAACAATAATACAGCACTGATAAAACAACAGACACACATGTGGTTACACGTTCCGGTTAATTAACCGTGTCTGTTTTTATACAACGCATCATATCTTTTTCATACCAGAGCAAATAAACACATGAATACAAGTGAGGTCAGACTGAACGAAATAAACCGTAAATGAGATGCTTTTGGAGGTGGATTACAGTATAATTGATATGTGGATATTTTGGTGATATATGTGCGAATTTCATCCACTTATGGATTTTGATAAAACAATTTAACTTCACTCGGCTGCCAAATCTTCCTATAGAAATATGTTGGAAAGAGATTCAAGATGAAGGTTTAGAACTTGGCCGAAATCATCGGTGCTTTTAATTTGAGAAAAAGTGAAATATGTCACTAGAAACACCAATAATAACAACTTTTCTGGCTGCAAACACTTCGAAGATGTGAAAACCCGAGTTTCACAGGGGGTTTTTGCCCTTAACAATTATATTTTGGTGGATTCGACAGCATTCCAAATAAAATGTAACAAATTAGATAAAGCAAATACAGCTAATGTTTCCACTCACATCATTATAAATTCCAGATTGCAAGCAGCAAAGCTATCAAAATTAAGCTTAACTTTCTAAAAGAAGTATGCGACTCTGCAGCTATACTGCTCCAGAGCAGAACACTACTTTCTTAATTTCTTTTTAAAATTTATAAAAAATATGTTTACTTCTAACTTATGCTGTTTGATTTACGACTAGTTTCAAGTAAATTTAGTTCGCTGCACGTTAGTGACTTTCATAGAATTTCGAAAATTCCGTCAACGTTTTGATTAATCGCCGCAGAGTGTTTGCGAATTCGAATACATAACGGTGAAGTGGTCAAAAGTTTATTTTCAAAATGGCGTTGCGCTAGCACAAATGAGACAATCCAGCAAAATAGTAGAATGATAAAGTAAATTAAAATTAAAAAAAAAATAAAAAACACTTATATAGGAGCAGAATATATTGACGTATGAAAATGCTTAAACGTTTAGAATAACAAATTGGCAAGTCAGCACGTTTTGCAAATAGTTCTATCAGCATAGAGACACTGTGATATTCTTGTGTCTACATTAGTTTAAGAGTAGTTCAGAAAGTAGTCACGGGAGACAAAGAACTATTTTTACACTGAACAGGGTATATTAAGTCCGCCACGAAGTTTGTAAACCAAATGGAAACCTCGGAAATCTTATAAAATATGCATATAAATTGTAGAGCGTGACCAGCTGAATCACTTTAAGTGAGTGTTTTGTGGGATTAGAAAGGAATCATCCAGCATGAGCTGCTCTAGTCTCGTCGACGAATGATTTCACATTTTACTGTCAACAACTGATGAGATTAAAGCAAGCAATCGGAAAAACGTCCAGAACTGTTTAACAGAAACGGTATCGTCTTCCATCAGGACAACGCTAGACATATTTGGTGACTCGGCAAAACCGGGGCGAACTTGGCTGGGTAGTTTTGAAGCATCGACCATATAGGCCTGACCTTACACCATCGGAATAGCATTTGTTTCGAGCAATGCAGAACTCAGAAGTCCCAGAAAATTTTTACACTGATGGAATAATGTCTCTAGCGGAAAAATGGGAAAAAGTGGTCGCCTAAAATGGTACATATGTATTTGGTTCATTAAAGTTCATTATAAATAAAAATAAAAAAAATAATTTGAAGTTTGGTTAGAAATACGAATAGACTTTTTCGACTTATGGTTCCTCAACCAGTTGCTTCAAGAAAAATAAGTCTTAGAGCTTACTTACTATGTGATTGCTAAACTCAAACGCTGCGCACCTGACACGACATCTCTAGACTTAGCGCTTTTCACTTGTGTCTATGCTTGTATAAATTTCACTGACATAAATTAATATTTACGAAAATTGTTTAAATATTTTAAGTTTGATTTCAATGTCAGCACTTGACGAATTTACCAAAGTGCAGAATATTCTGTCATGCTATGCCTATATGTATGATTTTTTTTCGTTTTTGCAAATATAGTTGATTGCCTGCACAAATTTCTAGTAGCTTTCGCTTCATACTTTAGGCAGTAAAGCAAACCCACACAACATTATGCGACTACATAGAAATTTTAAATATTGTTCAAACACCAAACCAACTAATTTTGAAAATATTATAAAGGTTACCCATTGTTTTGTATGTGAAAGAAATTTTCGATTTTTCAAAATTCAAAATTAAATTTGCACTTGACCGATGGCAGAGGCAGAGATCGTTAACGAATGCCCAGTAACCCAGAGACCCAGAAATGCATAAAAACGAGGAATCAATATATTGCAAAATGCACATGCACATGCTAAAGCATTTATTGTTTCAGTTCGTTGGTCTGGCTAATTTTAAAACAAAACTGGTTGTATGTTTGTATGTACTGTTGATCTGCTGTGTACATTGCACTTTTGGCAGCAGAAGCCCTCTAATTTGCAACGCAGTCTTATCTGCGCTATGCTCAGACGATCTAGTAGTTTATATGTACTTATATACTAGTCTAAGTACATGACAGTTGTTTCTTGTTTTCTAGCTGTTGTTCAGAGTTTGTAGTCTTTTTCAAAATACCTTCACATTGTTTAAGACATTTCTTGCGTTTTGCTATTGTTTTGTTAAACGCGTTCTTGGCAATGCCTACGAGTTAAAATAAAACTGAAAATGAGATGAAGAAGAAGAGAGATTTTTGTTTGCAACCACATTGTAAATTTTTCCTTTGTTTCTAATAAATTTTGTTAAGAGAGCTTTCAAGATTCCATATTATTGGTCAAACGTACTATGATTGACGCAAAGTTCTCTCGATAAGAAAAAAAAAACCAATTAGGTTGTAGTAGCGCTAATTCTTCATAGAAAACATAAGCTCTGTACTCTGGGCTATATTTTTCTTCATTCCACGATTTTAATCATTTATAACATGTTTAGATAACACAAGTAGCTCACAAACACAAAAGCTCGAGGCCTTAGCGTTCGCTTTCAATATGAATTAATAATTTAATTCACCTTGTGATACAATTTTTTTGAGTCCTCGCCGCCACTTCCAATTCACATTTCCAACAACTCATCTAGCACCAAAAACCTAAAATCTTTCGGATTACAAGATAAGGGGTATTCTACTTGTACTTTTCATTCATTCGGGTTTCTTTTCTCTTTTCCCGTGCTCGTACAGTTCGTGTAATTGTTTGCCGGCGGGAATCGTCACCCACTAAATCAACAGCATTTTCGCATGTGTGGGTGCTGAAATATATTTAAAATTTTTCATCTTTCAAATGACGGAAATGTGCAATAAATAAACGCTTGTCAAGCGATTATAACAAAAATGCTTCGTCACAGATTTTCACACAGCTAATGGAGCTATGGTAATACTAAGCATAAAATATGATACATATAAATTAATTTATTATTGTGGAATGACAAAGCCCATAAGAACTACTTACAACAATAATAATCGCATTTGTGTGATAGTTAAGATTAAAGGGATATAAATTGTCATGTTGTGCTTTTAGAATTATTACTGCATCTGCCACAAGTGATATGTATGAATGTAATAGTCGCATGTGTCAATTGGTTGAAAAGTTTGGCAGAATTTAATTCAATTCTGCTATTAGAGGACTAGCTTTGGATTTGCTAACTATTAAAATACTCTTAGACTTCTACTTGTAAAACCAGAATAGTGGAGTAAAAGAATTTTCGCTGCAGAGTCAAAGCGTTCGGGCCAGTCAACTCCACCACGTTAAACCTTAATGATGTCTTACTCGAAACCGTATTTTTCAAATCGAACGATGCCGAGACTATCGCACGTATTCTTTTGAATTTCGACAGTAACTTCCACTAATTACATTTTTTGTTATAATATTATTGCCATTAAAACATATATATATACTACCCATTTTGTCGTTCACAATTCAAACTGTTTTACATATTGTCCTAAATTTTACTAGAAATTCTTAATGAACTAAAAATTCACTTTTCATTATTTTACATATAGCACGAGTTCTCAGAATCAGCGCCAGCCGTTGCGGTAATCTTAAGAAAGTTTATACCAAATAATGACTGAGTAGGAACGTTTAGTACAAAAAAAAAAAATCTAAAACTAATTTTAAACAATATATATATGTGTTCTGAATCTGAAGTAGAGAAGTTCTATTCCTGTTTTATAAGAGCCAGAATAAATGATCAAAGTTAGGTCTTTTTAATCTGTAGTATTAAATATTCTTTGAGCATGAAAGGTTCACAGTCCATACTTAAGTTGTGCCCAAATATAATCTTAGCTAAGCATTATTGCGAACTGAGTAGTCGTTTGCGTTTCACAGTCAGTGCTTAGTTTCTATAAAACTTTATTATGATGTATGGCAACGTAATGTCATCCATAAAAATATGTTTGAAATATTTAAATTATTACAGACAATACATAAATATGCGAGGAAAGTCATATCGAAAATGAATGAAAACCACAAAAGAACCCCGAATTTCAACGAAAGCGAATCGGAGCACCTATTAGAACTGATAGAAATCTCAATCCGATTCTATATTTTTTCACAAGAAAAGCAATTTCTTATTTCTTATTATTTTTCTTCTGACAAATAATTGAAAATTTAAAACAAAAATCAGCTGTTAAGCAATGCTTAAGTATCCTATTTTCAGTAATTAAGCATAACTTAAGTATGAACTGTAATATTATTTTCCTGTTCTATCTTAAGCAGTGGACTGTGAAACTAAGGTTTTGACAGCGCAGCTTTTACTCGTTTGTTTTCTTCAAAATTAAGGATTGTCTGCCTACCACTGCGGTTAGCTCATGACTTCATAAACTATAGTATAATTTTTTTCTGCTCGCAAGAGAGAGCTCTCTAATCTCACTTTCGTCAGATTTTAAGCGAGTCGCCAGACCGTTGTTGCCTCGCTCTATAACAGGGGATATATGGACACTACGTGACCTGCAGTGGTTCCAGCCAACAACCAGAACTTGGGCGACTATGCAATCTTTTTGACCCAGAGTGAACACTTAGCAATCCTCTGTACTACATACACTTAGCAAAGTCAATCTCGCTCAATTCCACTCCAAACTCTCAGACCGTGATTTAAATATCTCGGGGGACATGCCTTCTGGCGAAATGGATGAAATTGATAATCAAACGCTTACGCTTCATTTAATCAAAAAACATTAAATGCGAGGAAGTTGAAAAAAAGTTACAGCTATTAAAAAATTATTGAAAATAATGAAAAAATTCACTAAGTGTTGAAATTTTTTTATAAAAAAGGAAAGAATACCGCGCAAGCCACCAATGACATTTTTGAAGTTTACGGACACGATGCTGTATCAATTCGTGTAGCACAACAATAGTTGGTCACTTCCGTTCTGGAAATTTCGATGTGAACGATGCACCTGTCTGCGAAAAATTTAATGAACCGAATTAACATCTGCGATTCTTTGCTGAAACAAAATGAAATGGAACCATTTCTTAAACGGAATTGTAACCGGAGACGAAAGTGGAACAAATACGACAATAATGTGCGAAAAAGATCATGGCCTAAGCGTGGTGAAGCTCAACAAATGTTCGCAAAGCTGGGATTGATGCCTCGAAAGGTTATGCTAAGTGTTCGGTGGTATTAGAAAGGAATCATCCACTATGAGCTGGTTTAGAATGGTCGAACGATTGATTCTACATCAATACAACAACTGATGAGATTGTAGCAAGTAATCCAAAAAAAAAAAAGGGAGGAACTGATCATCAGGAAATGCTTCGTCTTCCATCAGGGCAACGCTAGACCACTCACATTTTTGTTGACTCGGCAAAAATTAGAACAGTTTGGCTGGGAAGTTTTGACACATCCACCGTATAGCTCTAACTTTACACCATCGTACTACAATTTGTTTTGGTCAATGCAGAACTCCTTTAATTTAGTAAAGTGGGCTTCAAGAGATGCCTGCGAAAATTACTTTTCGCTGTTTTTCGTCGAGAAACCAGAATAATGTCTCTAGCAGAAAAATAGCAAAAAGAGATCAACCGAAATGGTATATACATATTTGGTTAATTCAAGTTCATTATAAATGTAAAACAATTACTTGAAGTTTGATTAGAAATACGAAAAGACTTTTTTCGACTACCCAATATTAACTGGAATTTCACATGTTAAAGCAAATAAAAATACGTAAAATTGAAAAGAAAATTACCGAAGTATGTGTTCAAAGTGATTACTTTCGATCAGCATAACAGTTTATGAGCATCGATTTGTAGCATAACTAAAGATATAAGTATACATATGTAAATAAGGTATATGTAACGTCGGAAACAGAACTCACTACGAATCTGCATGGAAGAGCCCAGAAAAGCCGGTAAAAAAAACGGCGTCGCTGGAAGATCGCAAGTGGTTACCAGAATTAGAGTTAAGAAAAAGCTTCGATTTAGTAAATTTATACGAGGGAGATTTTTCTGACAAAATATCATGAATACGCGAAAAAATTAAAATATTTTCATAAAAATAAAAAAGTTACCTTACTTATTGAACACTACTAATAGTTCAGAATCAAACCTATATTTATTTTATGATCAAGGCATAGTTTCGACTTTATTTACTAATCTTGTTAGAACACTTGTATCCCACTGAAATCATACCATCACATATTTTCTACTTATCGACCTATTTAAATAGGATATAATACCTATAATACATAAGATGTCAGAATATGTTTGACCTAGTTTTATGAAATAAATCATAGCAGATGTTAGATTGCTTAATAATTGGGCAATTTTTAAAAATTTCGAAGATATGAGTACTAAAATTTATAATTATATGTTTCAGCACCTATGTAAGTATTTAACTTATTCATAGATACATACTCGTAGGCATTTACTCGTGTATGTT